CCCTTGCTTAGTTAGAGTATTTCTATTATATTTCCCCGCCTAGCTTATATTATAGCCGTAATAATAAAGAATATCTCTCCGCCTAAGATTATAAGCTTAAGATAGATATCTAGCTTAATAATTTAGTCTATAGTAGCCCTTATTATATTAATATCCCGAAATAATAATAATTATATATTATAAAGGAGATTATATATCTCATAGAGGGGGTTAAAAAGCAAAAGATATTAATTCCTATACTAAGTAATAATAATATAATTATATAACCTAGTAACTTTAATTACTTAATTAATTATAATTCTTATAGGTATTAGGTTTAAAGCTATAATATTAAGAGATTATAGCTTAAAAAGATAAAGAGGTAAATAATTCTTTTATTTCTTATATAGAAGTTAAAGTAATTAAAATACCTATAAGAGGTTAGATTTTTATAATAATATAATTAGGTATAACTCTTTTATTATTATAGAAGTTTAATTAGGCTATTATATTAATATTAGGTTATAATATTATATTATATTTAAGATTTATTCTTTATTATAGTTATAGCCTGGCCCTTGATGGGTTAATTGAGCCTGAAGATCGTATCTATACCCCATCTTAATGTGGGTGCTGACCATGGGTCGTTCAGGGGCAAGGGGCTGGGCCGGCCCATCTTGAAAACTCCTTGGGGCAATTTTATTCGTAGCGTTTTACCGAGTCTCCAATCGGGGCAATTTCCCCCGAATCAATGCCCCAGAGTAATGCCCCCGCCATGAGGCTAGCTGCGGGACGCGGTTGGGGTGACCTTGGAAACTTCACGTTGGCAATTGGACAAGCCGCTTCTCTCTAGTGGCGGATGTTGAAGAGTCACAAACATTTGATGAACAATGAATGGACCGACCTTCCATCGGGCCGTCTGCCATCGCAGCCATTTAAACCCATAGAATGTCCTTTGATCGAAAGCGGACTGCTCAAGTTCTTCACCTTCCAACATTCACAATGCCCCCCCGAAAGCTGCAAGTTGGAGTCGCGGGTCTCGGTCGTATGGGAAAGCGACATGCCCTCAACTTTCACCAGAACGTGCCCCGGGCCACCCTTGTGGCTGTCAGCAGTCCAGACGTGGCCGAGCGTCAATGGGCGACTGAGAACCTAGCTCCCCATGGCGTAGCTGTTTACGAGAACTATGCCGACATGATAGCTCACCAGGGTCTGGATGCTATCTGTGTTGCCTCTGCTACCGCAGTTCATGCCGAGCAAGCAAACGCTGCAATTGCTGCAGGCAAACATGTCCTCTGCGAGAAGCCTCTCGGGACTACGGTTGAAGTTGTGAGATAAGATCTACCAACCTGAACTTCTAGATACTAACAGCCGCTTCCAGTCTCAATCTGTTGTCGATGCTGCCGCCGCCCGTCCCGATCTAAAGGTCATGTGTGGCTTTTCTCGCCGCTTCGATTCCTCCTACCGCGATGCCTACCAGAAGATGCAGTCAGGACTGATTGGACGCCCATCTGTCCTTCGAAGCCAGACCTGCGATGTTCTAGACCCTTCAGGCTTCTTTGTTGCCTACGCGCAGTTTTCAGGCGGCATATTTGTGGATTGCAGCATCCACGACATTGATCTAGCCTTGTGGTTCTTTGGTGAGGACTCAAAGGTTAGATCAGTCCACGCCGTGGGCATCACGGCTGTTGAACCAGATCTTCGACAGTATAATGACCGTGATAATGCTGTTGGTGTGGTTGAGTTCTATGACGGCCGGATCGCGTACCTATATGCGTCCCGCATGATGGCAGCCGGCCAAGAAGACTCAACAGAGATTATTGGCACCAAAGGCAAATTGACTGTCAACATCGTTCCGACCGATAACCATGTGAGGATCTACGAGCCGGGGGGGATTCGACATGAGCTTCCGCAGAACTATTGGGGTCGTTTCCGCGCTGCCTTTACGACCGAGGCCATTGAGTTCACGGATTGTGCGTTGGATGATAAGCCAGTACCTGTTAATTTGACGACGGCGGTCACAGCAGTACGGATCGGCGCGGCGCTGCAACAGTCAATGATTACTGGACATAAGATTTCATTTGACAAGAACGGCGATCAGCTCCAAATGGCCAGACTGTGAGCAGAAGCACACCAAAGTCCAACCATGATCGATAGGCATAGAGATACTTGGGTAGAAATTAGATGGGTTCAATCACTCGGCATTCACAGGAAATAATTCAATTTCAATTAGGTGAACGGCTAACCTTGTGTTTCTTCGAAAGAATGTTCTCTGTAAATATCCTCCCTCGCCGCAGGAGAAGAGGGAGCGTAGCCATTTGAAATGTTGCATTGGAATGCCTTGAGCCACTTTAATAATTACCGCCCTAGACAAAAGGGGTTAGCACGTTGACCGAGTGATAATGAATGGAGCTCATTCACTCCGAGGAAGCAAAAGTAAAAACATTGGCCGTCAGAAGAGGGGAACAAACTTTGTTTCTCATCATCATCATCATCATTCTTTTCTCTCATCTCAAGACCAGACATTATGAATCCACCCGATCAGTCAAATGAACCAGACCTTCACTGCGTCTCTTATAGATGTCGACTATGTCGTTTCCCCATCCGTGCGGGCGAGGCCGTGATTGCGGGTATGAGTCCCCATCAAAAGGGTGGACAGAGCTGAGCTGACATTTGAGAAATCAGATGTGGGTGATGGTAAACTGACACCAAGTTTCCCTTTTAAGTGGAACGCGCATTATGAGAAGGACTTCCATATGGTCCTTCAAGGTTGTCACCTCTTGTGCACACATGACGAGGATGAACAGCTGCCCGCTTATCATGCTGAATGCCTCAGATTCGCGCCACCGCTCACCAAAGAGGGTCTCCGTGTCACCGAGTACACCTATCAGCCCACGCCATCCGAGCATCTGAGGCGCGCCTCAAGGATCCGAGACGTGGCGGGCAGGAGGTTGCAGATGGAGTGCCCAAATCTACCCGCCGAAGTGTGTCTTCTCATCACCGAGGGACTTGTTCGAGAATGTGCCTCAACTGTCACTCACGGGCTTTTGCAAGGTCGTAGCCTGGAAGCACTCGACTCAGAGTTGGATGTTTCACTGGGTGTGTGGGCTCGTTACACCTTGTTTGATGGGATTCGCTATGTTGAATCTCTTTCCAACGTGGGAGATTCTCAGAGCGTCTTGCTTCTTGATGCTGGTAGGGCATCGGCTGCTGAGCTTCTCTACGTTTTGGAAGATCACTTGGGTATCAGACAAGTGGTGTTTGCCAGCTATGAGCACTCGGTCAAACTATCGGCTCTCCTATGCAAATCAAAGCCAGATGCCTGGTGGCAGACCATCCCCATCACCCCCGAGAAGTTGACCGTCAAGTCTGATGTAAGTTATCCAAGCAAATGTAGACGCCAATGCTCATTGTTTCCCCATAGGGCCTCAAATTACGATCCATTTTTGCACCTTCAACCCGCGACTCTCCATACTCGCCAACTGTTACATGGTCTAAGCCCATGGCCCCGTTCCAGGAGCCCATGTTTGCATTTGGGTCTAAGACTATACGTGGCAAGCCAATCGATGACCCATCTTGCACTCACCTCCGGATAGTGTCGTTGGACTTTAACGATCCAGCTATAACTGGATACTCGGTATGCTGGCTGCGTGGGATTATGGGCATCCACGCACATCGTGGGATGGAAAAGTTGGCCGCCTACGATGGCCTTGATCAGTGCCATGAAAAAACCACCTGGGTATATATACCAATTGATCATGGCGAGCGCATCACTGGGATCTGGACCAGGGATGCAAGTCACGGCGACGATACCGGAATAATGGTAAGGAACCCCCGTTCTCTCACCATGAAGACCTTCTGACACTCGAAAAGTTCCAGACGAATCAGGGAAGAAGAGTTGTGATCGGACACTGCACAAATTCCAAAGATGAGCGTATCGACTCAGCCAGGCATTGGGAGGAGCTATCCAACGTGTCTGAAAACCGCTTCCGTGTGCACTACCAACTCTCATACCGCGGAGTTGAAACGCTCATCGCTCAGCCCCTGAGTGGCCTTGAGCCAACCTTCGATGGCAAGGCCATGCCGCCATGTCCCTCCCGGCGCTACCGTCCTATCCAGCGCCGCCACTACTCGTCTGCGGACCTAGAAAACGTGGTGGAAATCATCCCCTGCTGGAGGGAGATCAGCCCGAACGGTGCCACCTACTGGGCCATGACGGGCCTTCTCTTGCGCTACGCGAATGGTAGTCAAGCCTGCGTGGGCGAGTTCAGGATGGACAGCCTGGGGAAGCCTATAAATGTCGACGGTGCATTGTATCTATATCTGGGCCATGGTGAGGACACTGACGACACCTACTGGTACCTTACCAAAATCTATACTGAGCCTACGGATGATGACGATGACCTGGCTTGGTGGTGTCTCAAGATGGAGGGGAAGCTTCAATGGTGGTTTGGCAACAACTCCCAGGTTCGGATATCCACTATCGACTACATGGGCGAGACTCACTGGGCCTAGAGGATGGTGCTGGCGGACGGCCTTGAAACGGGGTGGTCGTGGTTTACTGTTGGGTTCACTAGCAATATTTGTTGTCAAGATAGTTGGATGTCCCTGTATGACCGAGACATTTATCTTGCATTCTTTTGGTTGATTTGTTTCCTGACTGCAAACTGCAACATGTCGTCAGATACGAGTCATTATTTGCAAGCCTAGTTCTTCCAAGAGTTCACATCCACCTCGAGCGAAAAACCTAAACTTGGCCCATGTTGGCAATTGTTCAGGTTCATGCTTTGCGAAAAGGAGGTTTTTTTCTCAGATGCTCTTTTTCAATGGTAGAGTAGAAGAGTCTTGGTCCAAAAGAGGGTTTCACTTCCATCATAAGCCACTCTCAATAGTGTCGGACTTAACCCAAGTTGGCCAGGCGACACAATGGGGGTTTCAGAATGAGTTTAATTAGACATGTCAACAGAACAAATTTCTCTTCTCTTTAAACACCCTCATTCTCACATTGAACCAAAGACACCATGGCACAAGCTCAAGAGCGGATAGATGAGCCGGGTATTCACTGTGTGACACGCAGATGTCGGCTCTGTCGGTTTCCCATTGAAATGGGCGAGATGATCGTCGCTGGTAAGCGGGACAGACCTGCGCTAATCTTTGGGATAAAAAGCTGACACTCACAATCAGACGTGAATGGATGGCTCACACCAGCTTACGCCTTGAAAGAATCTGCTCATTATTATGAAGATAAGCACATGCTACTTCAAGGATGTCGAGTCGAATGCATCCATGAGGACGGGGAGTCGGGACAGGTTCCTTGCTATCACGTCGAATGCCGCAAGTACGCATCCTGGCCCGAGGATCAATACTTGCTTCGTGCCACTGAGTACACCTATGAGCCCACGATGCGTGAGGATCAGAGGCGCATTAACAGGACCTGGCTGTTGCTTGGGAGGCGCCTGCAACAAGTCTATGAAAAGCTACCTGCTGAAGTATGCTACATGATTGCAGGTGAGCTTGTTCACGAGGTTGCCGCCATGGCTACCGATCAGCTCTGGAAATGTCGTCCACAGGAGCTGGAGAATACCGACATTTATAACCGAATCGATATGAAGGTGCGGGCTCGGTACATCTACATAGACGGAATCCGCTATGTGGAGTCTCTGTCTAGCTCGCCCTATGCCGAGGGTGAGCTGGTTGTTGACCCCGCGACCTCGTCGACGATTGATGCCATCCATGTCTTGGAGGATCACATTGGAGTGAGACAAGTTCTGTTCTCAAGCACCGAGCATTCGCAAAAGCTTGAAGCTCTTCTCAGCACCCCAGTGAAAGACGCCTGGTGGCGCAGCATCCCCTTCAGCACCACCGTCTTCTATGCCAACTTTGATGTAAGTTACTGTGTGACTTTGCGCCATCGACGTCTAACACGTTTGCCAGGGTGTTAAACTGCGAAGCATCAAAACAGACGGCCGCGGTCCGCGTCCCGTACCATCAGCAGCCATGCAGGGAAAATCAACCTCTGCAGACGTGGCCTGGCCCAGGCCCATGTACCCGGCAAATGAACCAGTCCTTAACTATTCGAACTTCAATAACTGGGAAATCGAAGAGGAGCGCCGCAACGCAGAAATCACGCCATGGACTCCGTTCACTCGCTATCGCTTCCGAACCGTATCGCTCGACTTCAACGACACGGCCGTGACTGGGTACTCTGTCTGTTTCATGTCTGGAATCAGGGGCATTTACGCTCACAGGGGAGAAGACATGGATATGTACAATGATGTTGATATGTACAGCCGTAAAGGCAATTGGACGTACATGCCAATTGACCCCGATGAGCGGATCTCGGCCATTTGGATCAGATCTCAAGACACCACGTCATCTACCGGACTGATAGTAAGGAGTCCCGCCCATATTCTCATAACAGTTTGCTGACGCTTTTCGACAAGTTCCAAACAAACAAGGGCAGACAAGTCATGTTTGGAGTGCGAACGGATAGCCAAAGTCGACTGGATAGAGCCCGTCTCTGGACGCCCCTACTTGGCGTTTCTGAGAACCCCTTCCGGGTGTACTGCAAACACTCGTATCGAGGAGTCGACCAAATCGCTGTCCAGCCTTTGGAAACCCTGACCGAAGAACCTCCTCGGGAGATGATGCCATGGCCAACCCTACCCTCCCCCGCCCCTCGAACGCAGCATTTTTCCGCCGTGAGCCTAGACAATGTCATGCAAATAACCCCTTGCGGCAGAGAAATCGCTTTCCAGCATGAAGACTTGTGGGTCATAACCGGAATTATGGTGCACTACGCGGATGGCCATCGAGCTTGTGCCGGCGAGTTTCGGCTGGACTGCGCGGGTGAGAGCATGAGGGTTGATAACATGTCAATGCTGATGATGGGCTTTTACGTGACAAAAGATAAAACGGCCCCATGGCTGGGAGCGATCGAGTCTGAGCCTACGGATGATGAAGATTTTCTTACCTGGAAATCCCTTCGCTGTGGAGGGATGCTCGAATGGTGGTTCGACGAAGCTGGTCGCTGCCAGATATTCCGTCGTGACCCGACGGGGCAGTTATCCCGGGTATAAATGGGAGATGGAACTAGACGACTGCCTTGAGAAAGGGTTATCATGGCTCGCTATATGGGTTTATGAGTATTGTTGCGTGGCACTGCTGGGATATAGGAGTTGCAGCCCGGCCGTTGATGGGTTAACTGAGCCCGAAGATCGCTGGGATATAGGCGGAAGAAAAGAAGCATTCAAGGTTGTACAGAAATCTGTTCCCATGCGAGCACCTAAAGATGCCTGTTAAGTACGTCCCTGGTATTATTTAGTAAACCTGGTTCTACCAAGAATACGCATCCACCTCGAGTTCAAAAACAACTCTTCCCTTCTTTGCTGCTGTAGTAACCGCCGCTCTCACGTCATCACAGAGTCCTCCTGGTCCACAAGCTACGACACCCACTCTGCTCCATCCAGCAGAGTTTGACGTTGCGGTGGCGGGTTACCCAAGGGAGGAGACTGGTGATGCCGATGCCTCCTCCAATGAGAAGCACGCGGTCACAGCGTAGAACTTCCTTGGTGGGAGTGTTGGGATACGATCCGTTAAGAAGAGTGAGTAGGTTATCATGAGCGTTGAGGTATTTGGTCATTCCCATCGATTTCTTGACCAGGAGCGTGAGGCCAGCCGTTGAGTGCCCGACCTTGGTAAGACGGGCTTGTTGCTTTGACCCATTTTTCTCGGCGTCGACATGATGCAGTGTGGCGACATGGCCATCGTGTTCCTAGTTGACGCCGCTGCCTGAATGTGATAGCAGGGCAGTCGGCAGGGCAGAAAAAGGGTGGTTCTCCCAAGGACGCAACGGGTTGAGTGTTGGGAAGTAAGCATACACATGATTACCAGGCTCAGACGCCCATCGGATTCCAGGGACATCAACACGGACATAACCATTGCCAAGGTCAGTAACCTTAGAGCGACATAAACCCGTCTTCAAGATGCGACCTACTCGCACGAGACGATCAAAGAACCACACGCCGCAAGCAATTTCCAGCCAGACCTCGTATCCCCAAACGAGACCAATCCAGTACTTGATGTGGTACCAACATCCGACAATGACAAAGACTGCAAGAAGGATATGGGAGATGAGAAAGGCTTCGTAGGCAAAACGACGGACGTAAAGGCCGCTCGCAAAAACCATTATCATGGTTGCCACAGTTGCCACGGCACCCCAGATCCAGTATTCCTTCCTAGCTTCGGCGGGATAGTACAAAGGCAGGGCGAGAAGAGTATGAAGGAGGGCTTGGAGGGCAAGCATGCGAGCTACCCAGCGGTGTAACAACATGTAGGTTGAGTGAGACCAGTCTGTCATCCAGAGCAGAAAGTTGTTCCTGGACGAGAAGAGAATCAAGAGAGGGAGCAGAACAAAGGCAAACACTCCTGTGCGGTAAAAGATGTAGGCAGTGATCTCCTTGGCCCGCGTGGTATACCAGGCATGGGGCTGCTGTGTTTTGTAGTTGACGGCCGTGAGGATGAGGTTGAGGATGAAGAATACTAGCACGTGGAGGCCTTGACCGACTGTAGGAGCATTGCCGAGGAGGTAAGGAAGCGGGCGGACATGATATGTTCCCACAATTGTTTGGTAGACAAAGTATGGCTTCACTTTGTCGAGGAGACCTGACATGTATGGAACATAGCCAAGCCAGGTGAGGGCCATGGGAATGCCAAATCCAGCGACCAGGATAGCGATGCTGCACGAACAAGTTAGCAATGGGAGGTCTGATTGCTGTTGAAGAACTTACCCAAAACCTGCTTCGACGAGGTTTTCACGATAGACGGCGGTGAGGGCATTGTACTGAGCTAGATACACCGAGGGGTCAACAATGGAGGTTGTGTTGAGGTACTCGTCGGTAGTTGTGAGTTGCTGCGTCGGCGATTTCGAGATTTTCGGCAAAGAGGTCGAACAACTCCATTTGGGAGAAACATTGGGACTCTCAGTAGATTCCTTCTCCCAAAAACCCTCAAGCTTGGAGACGGGGACGTGATACTCGGCACATTCTGTCTTGATGCACCAAGCAAGAGTGGTAAGCCAAGGTGTGTCACCGGCCCTGCACTCTGGAGAAGTCATGCCCGGACCATGACTCATTCCGCTTGGCATCTCCTCACGACTGGAGCACTCGAGCATCAAGCTCCCCAGCGATCGGAGACAGGCGTACGCGCAGGGTGGCTCGTATGGGTAAATGCCATATCCGACCAACCCACCGCCGCCAAGAACGGGCTGGGCCAACAGCCATGCAAGAGCAAGACGTTTCATGCTAGCGGATGGAGAATCCAAGACAAAAGACCCCTATATTGCACGCAAGTGGGGTTTTAGGGGAATAAACAACTTGCAGGAGTAAAGACTGAGAGATCACAAACCAAAACGAGGCAGTGTGGACATTAAGAGAGACGCAGCATGTTTATAAAGAGTGAAAAATGGGTTCAATTCGATGCTACAGAGCCATCAATAAGGGGAAATAGGTACCGTGTGATTGGCTACCGAAATCTCGGCTCGACGATGGAACGATTCCAAAGAGTCAATATGACCAAGTTTCCCCACGCGCATGTAAAGCGCCACTGAAAAACTGGTGATAACCTCAGCCTATCAGGCAATTTATAAGGCAAGTGGCTGCATTCTAGGGGAGGATTCTTCGAGTCTGGACCTTAGACGTGCAGCTTGGCCGATCTGTCGTTAAGAGGTGGTGGTGGTGGATCTTGTGAGCCGGTTCGCAGGAGGAAGGATAGACAAGGATCGACACCATCATCTTGAGTCGCTAAAGCAGCAAGATCCAGAGCTGTCTCTTTGTATTTGGGATGATCGCAGGAGAACTGGTGATCTTGAACAGGATATGCAGCAAGGGTGAGTGTGCATATCAAGCAACATGCAGTACGGCTGATTCAGTGAACTTGGCTAGTAGATCAGCTGCAGGTGAACAAGAAAGACGTTACAAGATAGACGCTTTTAAAAGCATCCCATCTGACCCACAAGATGCTTATATCCGAATTCAAATTCTAGACTGCCATCACCACCCTCTGATCAAACAGTCTCGCCTGCCCCCAAAGTCCCTAACTGAGCTTGACATCCAAGCAAAACCCGAGCCCGTCTCGACTAGTAAAACAACTGCCAAGGCTTTTACATATTGCAGGCCCAAGAACGTACGGAACCCTTCCGCAGTCCAAGACATGTAGTCAAAGCCACAACTGCGTGAAGCGAACCGTTTTGCAGTGTGAGCAACTATGAGCATGTTAAAAGAAATGCCATGAAATGCAGTTAAAAAGAGCTGTCAATATTGTAATTCCAAAAACTCATCACACCATCTCTATTCTCATCTCACTTACTGTGTCTACTCACTCAACTCACCATCACCATGAAGCTGAAGGTTGCTCTACTTGCACTCCCTCTAGCGTCTACTTTTGGATTTTCACCTCGTCACGAAGGCCACGATCACGACAGCAGCAGTGAGCATAGCAATGAAACCAGTGGCACTGGCCATGACCACTCTATGGCTCATGGACAATTCAACTTTACCCCCTCCGGTATCCCCTGGCCTACTTGCGCCCGAACCTGCTGCAACGCCAACTTCCAATACTTTCCCAAACCTGTGAACCACCCTCTCTGCGTCAGCCAGGCATTCTACGACAACGTTACCACCTGTGTTGCGACCAACTGCACAGAGTACGAGCAGGGTGCGTATGCCGTTGTCGCAGAGATTGAGTGCCCTCAAGAGGAGAACCACGAGGTCGACATTGAAAAGGATGATGTCATCTCAGCCTTGAAGAAGGAGGGAGGAAACCCTCAGTCTTGCAGCGGCGTCAATAACGAGACGATTGAGTGTCAGAATGCCACTACTGAAGGTCGGGGGCCTTTGGCGTATGGACAGGGAGAGCTATTGATTCCTACGTTTATCGTTGCTGGTCTGGCTATCTTGTTGAGCATTGGCCTCTAGTATGGAGGGGAAGAGTGCATGACTATGGGTTTGGAATTGGGAAAGAAAGAGAGCTTGCTAGCTTGATTCGTATTTAATATACAAGGTTCTCCTAATGCTTCACACTCACTGGACCTAATAATAGAACTTGCTGACCCTTCACTTACCTACCTACATCAGAGAAATATCTCTCAGACTGTCTGCTGGCATTTCGACACCGCCATCCATAAGCCCATGGACATAACACTCACCCACAAACTCATACATCGCCGACTCTACGGGCCGCACCAGCCAAGGCATATCTCCGCCCACAGGAATACACACGTGGTCGCCATCCTGAGCCCCCTCGGGACCCAAGCCAACAAAGCCATTCCGATTGATGAAGAGAACCCTACCCTTGCCCGTAGTCCCAATGGCCCCGAAGAAGTCCTCGTCATCCTTCTCGGCCGCCTTGTCGCGATGAGGGTCACGACGGTGAGCCGAGTCGGCAACAAGCCCTGGGAGTATTCTCGCCGCCTCTGCGGCGCTGACCTCGACGACCTCGCTGTTCTGCTCGTCCAATTCTGTAGCAGGCTTTGGATCCTCCTCGTCAACACGGTCGAACCAAGCAAAGTATCGATCGAGATCCTCCTGGCTGATCCGGTTGTCGTCAAGCGTGTCAACAATGATTGTCCGCCGGAAGGCGATGCGTGTTGACTCCTCGTCTGGATAAAATGGCCAGTTCATCCGCCTCATCATATTTACAAAGGTGCTCTCCACATCCCGGAGGCCCTCCTTGCTGATGCCAACGACACTACCACAAGGACTTGCGTGGCTTAGCATTTCGACCTGCACGGTCAAGCACTTGCCGTCCTCTGTGACCTTGAAAGACCGTTCAGCGCTAGTGGATGGGCGGTAGACTGCTTGAGGGGAACTGAATAGGGTCGAGATGCGGAAAGGGTAGAACGGCAGCTCTGTACTCCAGTCCGGGGCCCAGGATGCCAGGCCTTGGCGTCTAGACGATGGATCAGCCAAGCCCATGACCTTGTACGAATCCTTGAGAAAGTGCAGCGCCACATTCTCGTAAACTTGATTGACGGGCATGCTGTAGTTTACTGATATTCCGTCGGCATCACCAGTTGCCAACCCGAGCAGTCCATAGACTTTGTCTCGAGGATCTGTAGCAAGCCACGACCGAAACTTGTTCATCGTCTCCAACAGGCCTACAGAAGGGTGGGTTTCCGAGTGGCGCCGCATCCGTAACGCCGCGATAGCAAGAGTCTCATCCGAGATGGACATGGGAGCCTTTTCGCCCAGCATTCCCATGATTTGGATGAGCTGGGCCAGGTTGAAGGCCAACTGCTCCCACTCGATCTCGTCGGGTCCACAAAGAACCGTCGCGGCCTTGGAGACGACCACCTCTTGGATGACCCAGGTACGCCGCCACCAGGGCCGGCCCGTGAGATCAGCGAAGCCGAGGTACCGCGGTGAGCTCGGTGAGAGGCCTTGATCCCACATTTCCTGGTTGATGGCGTGGAAGTTGTGCATGAAGCCTCTACGGGCCATGGCCAGGTGGCTGTGGTCGGAGGCTGGGCCGAGCCAGACCAGGACGCGCGATGCCGTCTTGTAAATGCGTAGCATACTGCGCACCTGCGCGTTTCGCTCGTCCATGTCATCCTGGTTGATGCATACGGCATCGACCCAAAGTCTTCGAGATTTGTCAGTCTTTCGCAGCCGCCGGAAGGCTGCTTCGAGGTTCGGCCGGATCCCAAAGGTCCCGCCAGCTAACAGCATCAAGCAAGACGCATCATCGGTGCCCCAGGTATAAGAGAGGGCCTCGTAAGCGACATCTTGTTTGTCGAGATTGGATGTTACGAGGTCGCATTTGACCGGATCCGAGTCCTGTCCGGCCTGCAGCTCAAGGAGACGAATCTCCCGAGTGGGGTCGCCCAGGCGTGAATATGAGAACTTGTTTCCCGGCTTTGCCATGGTATGAAGGAGATGACTTGGGCAGGGTTTCCTGGCTCGGAAGAGAAACCTCCTGAGCAGATAACCAGCCGTCATGTTGCTGCCTAGCCATGTGGAGGTGCAGTCGTGACACTGAGCGGCGAAAGGTAATTCCAGCGTAATTGTGGCTGAGCTTCCTCTGATAGGAGCAAGACATGGATAAGAGCAATTCCAGTCTCTACATTCCTTTTGGGTTGACGTGAACATGATGGACATTCACACTCTTTAACAATCGGAGCAAACATGATAAAACGAGAGTGAAAAGCAGCAACTTGGTCACGAAAGGGCTGCAGGGTAGTTGCAACTGATGCTTCTTTGTTTCCACTGTAGAGTGAGATTCCACTGAATCCAATGTCATCACACGCTTTTCTCCACATGCCTACTTCTCAAACATACCACATCCCTTCGCTGTGAAACCGACTGTCTTTAGTCAAACTGCTTGTATCCAACTAAAGTGCGAAATGGGCCAGAAGCCAAAATCCAGACAGAATTGCTAACGTCAGCTTCAGACCAGCTGGCCCGTGAGATGACATGCCCCCATTTTCATCATCGTCAGCCGAAGTGCTGTTAACCGTTTTGAGATCTTTCTCAGGGTCGATGCAGTTATCTTGACAAATTGCGCTCTTCTTCCAGTTGAAGTCGAGCCAACCGAGATCAGATTCATTCTTTGACAAGTAGTTCTTTGTGATGCGGCCGCATTTCTCACAATCGTCGATCAAAGCCCGCGACAGCTCCCGTATCTCACCAAGCGTAAGTCCGCCCTTTGGAACATCCTTCGGAAAGACACAAAGTGCTCGTACTGATCAGTAGCCGTCATCCAATGGAGCATACAAGGCAAGACTTACTCCCTGGAACGCGTATGTCAATGTCGAAGCTGACCCCGACGCCTTTTGCCCCAGCTTCCACTCCAAAGTCGAGGAAAAACTTGGCATCCTTGAAAAGGCATGTCACATGCGACTCATTGGAATAGAAGGTGTCGTTGGGTAGGTCGGCTTGCATGATGATCTCATAGAGGATCTCACTTGCGGGGTGACCTTGAAGCCCATCAAAGTTGTTGGCATCGCAAGCTGGATCGATGCCGACAAAAGCACCACCCAGGCAATGGCGCTCCGGGCTTTGCGTCTTGGCCTGTACCAGGACAAACCAAAGAATGGTGGCAAGAAACCAGAAAGAAAAAGGGGCATGTTGACGAACCATGTTGCTGGGCGTCAGACGTTCGGAGGGACTTGGACTGTAGAACGTGTTTATCAAGGGAACTACGTCCGTTTATTAAGGCCTAGAGGACGCGATATTACTGTCAACTGAGACACGTTTAGAGGACTGTCAGGTGGCAGGGACAAGAAGTCGGTGAGATATATTCGAGCAGCCTGCATTAAAAGTGCACATTGAGCGCCTTCTAGGCCCAACTTGAATCACACCGAGTAGGCCTCAGTGCTATTATCACTCTGCTTCCCGGCACAGGGGACTAATTGCCTTCAATGCCAAGCAGAGCTGAAAACATTGGCGCAAGGAGGCTTTCGGAAAAGCTTTAAACAGCAGGGATAGCAATGGGCTTGCGCCATGTTTCGTATGCGTATTCCCACAGGCGCTTATACGAAGATCACCGTTGGTGAGTAAGGAGCCATGCATCAAGCAGGCTGTGGGAAAATTGTTGGATTCTTCCCGTCAGTCACCCAATAAATGGCTGGGTATAAATGAGGCGCTTTTACGATATCTGCATCACGTCCACCACCTGATACCAATCCATGCAGCTGCATGTTCCAAGATGTCACAGTGCTTGAGACTCGGCAGTTGAGCTTTTTGAGCCTGCTAGAGATGGGGCAACTCGTTTGTAGGGTCTTGACAAGCAAATCGTCCCGTATCGATATAGTTGACGTCGCAGACTACTAGAGGAGTGAGGATAGGCGAAATTGCTCATAACAGGCAACAAGACTGGGTGTTATAGATAGGCCAAGATCTAAACTAAGCTTGTTATAGTGGATAAGGTAGTATCCTTGTCGAAATGGACCAAGCCTTGAGAGAGCGGTCAGCTGCAGAGACGAACAAGACATAGAGTCTCGATGTGGGTTGGTTTGATACCTTGGACATGAGTGGTGTCGAGTAGTGATGGGATACTGGAAGAGATATCGGTCGAGTTTATCGTACTAGATAGTATTATTAGAGTAGGCTCTAAAAGTCTTTACTTTAGTTGTCCACTTGATGTTATTTGCGTGCATAATCTGCTGCATAAGTAATTATACTAATTTCTAGAATTTCTATGAGAAGGCTAAGCCGAAAGCGGAAACAAAGCTCCAGGCCAATACGAATAGGGCGATAGTTACTGGCTTTGGTCCACCAAGAATGTTTGTATGCACCTGTTGGCGAGACTTGGCATTTGGGGGGTAATATTTACGTCAGGCATACATCAAATGCCACGACACAAGGGAGAAGGCCAATGCCTGGACCAGGAACAAGGAACAAGGAAATTTTAAAAAGAGACAAAAACCGCATCAACTTGAACTATTATTCTCGCAGTGACGGCTATCGACTTGAGATAATATTGCCAACTCCAACATTGAGTCTGTTTGAGGGAACAACTTATTACAGCACGCACCAGGCAACATGTCGACAACTGTCCTTAGACGAGCGACACGCCTTATCCCAACCAAGGGGCCTTTGCCTGCACACACATGGAAGCTTCAATTGACACCCTATGGAATTGCCGCCCCAAGGGCATACACGTCGCGGCAAAACCGCGAGAAACCCCGAAACCCCGATCCCAGGGAAAATCCCGCCAACAAGCTCAAACTACCACGGGCCACCAATGTCGGCCGGAAACAATTCGCCGACTTTGACCTCGCGGGAAGAGTCTTTGTCGTGACTGGAGGCGCCCAGGGACTCGGTCTCGCTTTGGCCGAAGGTCTTGTCGAGGCTGGCGGAAAAGGTTCGTAGATCCATCACAACACCCGACTTGAAGGCGGCGATGAGCTCACTATGAGACAGTCTATTGCTTGGATCGCGCTGAATCACCAGATGAAGGTTGGGCTGAAGCCAAATCAAGAGTCGTGCCCGAATGGGGCGGCTCGCTACACTACCGTCAACAGGACGTCAAAGACGAGGTCGGCCTCGACCGTCTTATGGCAACAATTGCCGTGGAGAACCAAGGTATCGACGGCGTTGTAGCCGCAGCAGGCGTTCAGCAGATCACACCCTCAGTGGACTACCGAGCCAAAGACGTAACCAATATGCTCGACATCAACTACACAGGCCTCCTCATGACTGCCCAATCAGCAGCCAAGCAAATGTTCAGGTACAAGCGCCGGGGCAGTATCTGCCTGATCGCCAGCATTTCAGGTCTCAAAGCCAACAGAGGCCTGGTATCCCCTGTGTACAATTCATCCAAGGCGGCCGTCATCCAGCTCGCACGAAACCTGGCAATGGAGTGGAGCCCCATCAAGAAGGACGGAACCGGCGGCATCAGAGTCAACTGCATCAGCCCTGGGCGCATCTTGACCCCGATGGTGCAAAGGAACTTTAAAGAGGTGCCAGGGTTGAAGGAGGAGTGGGAGAGGGAGATTATGATGGGACGCTTGGCCGAGACGCAAGAGTTTAAGGGGGCCGCGCTGTTCTTGCTGAGCAATGCGAGCAGCTACATGACGGGGAATAATATTGTCATTGATGGAGGGCATTCGTCTTGGTAAGAGCGTGTCTCTTGACGGTAGACTTGCAGGTGACTATGTATTGTGGTCACGTGGTGTACATAGAAGCTTGCAGGATGAATGCAAAGCCCGCGCTCTGCATTTTGGTCTCGTCCTCTCAGTGGATAGGCGGCATTAACCTATCAGTTGCTGTCAAAGGAGTCTCCTGTCCAAGCCCTGGGGGGAGTGCTTGTGGGTCGTCCTAAACAATGAGAAGGTGTACCGTTGAAACGGCGATGAGGGCTGAAATCTAATGATTTGAGTCGTCATCTTGTACACTATCAACCAAAGCCCAGAGAACTAGATTGTCTAAATGTTATTGGCACTAAGAGTCACCAAGAGATGTCCAAAATGGCGTTCAACCAAGTCTGCTTTCAGGAGACATTCTAGACTCTACCATTGACGATGTTGGTAATGCTGTGGAGGGCCAATTGGAGCTATGCCCAACTATATCATGGGAACAATGGATGGCGAATCACTTGCGGACATAGCATCTTCAGCACATAAGGGAGGCCGTCCACAGTAAAGCGGTTGTGTTGCGGTCTCGTTGAAATTGCGACACGAAGTAACCAATCGGGCCAAAGTATGAAGTGAGACAAGTGGATACAACTGCTTAACAAGCCTCATAGAATCATTGATCTATTCAACTTGCGTCAATAGTCTGGGGAGCTAACGTTGAACTATCGAGCTGTTGGCGCCGTTGGATACGTCGAATGCCCCTTTCCCGGGACTACAAAAGGATCCCAGTGGAAGCCGTCCGCCACAATTTTGCTGATCTTATGTTTTCTCATCCCGTTCTCTTTAATCTAGTCACTCGTTATAAATTTGTCGCAATGCGATCTGCCGTTGTCTTGCGCGTGGCCCTGAGCCTATTGGCCGTGGACTCTGTGGTTGCAGGCCCATGCAGGCCGAGTGAGTACTTGGTGCCATTAATCGGTATTGCGTATCTGCCTGGAGATCAGCCAGACTAAACTACATGTGCTAGCCTCCTCCAAGACAGCCTCTGCCGTCAGCTCGACCGCTTCCGTCGATACATCGTCAGCCACGTCTGTTGAGTCGGCCACCTCGGTGACATCGGCCTCTTCCTCTGCGACAAGCAAGGCTTCGGCCGAGACGTCTGCATCTTCCACTGCTACCGAGACGTCGGCGTCCTTGACTGAGACGTCGGCATCTTCCAGTGCCTCGGTCGAGACATCTGCGTCTTCCACCGCCACCGGAACGTCTGCATCCTCGACTATCTCGACTGAGAGCTTCGCGTCCTCAACCGAGACTGCGTCGTCTAGCACTGCTTTCACAACCACCACTGCTGCCTCGACTACCGTATCAACCTCAACAGCGGCCGCTCCCACCTTCACCCTGGCTGCAGCCGGCCAGGGTCCCGTCGAGGGCAAGAAACTCCTATCCTACAACGCCGATGGCAACCTGGTGACCTTCGACTCCCCCAACCCCCTCAAAGTCCCAACAGCTCGGCCCTATAGCATCGATGCCCAGGGGAGGATTCTCAACGACCAGGGCTTCTACCTCTGCGCACACTACAAGCCAGATAATGACTTCCTGGACGCTCCTGCATACATCACGACTTGCCTCAATGACAACCTGCCGAATTCGGTTTATCTGACTTGTAGGGTAGATGGCAGCGAGCTCAAGTGCTCCATCCCAGCCGTCACTTGCACCGACAGCGGGAGCCCATGGATTAGTCCAGCTTGTGTGTCGGCTGACGGCGAATGGGGAAGCTTCTATACATACATTATGGGACCTGGTTATGTCCTGTATATCGGAACTGCCACGCCATCTAAGGACTACTATTACCCTCTTAGCTTTTCTCTCCAAGAGGCTTAGAGTATGTTGCAAGCCTGGCACAAGGTTCCAACGGAACGAGTTCTTGAAATGTGACGATTACTTCTTGTATCTATAGAAACGATTCTGGCTCTTAACTGTTCGATACAGCACCTCGGGTGGAAGACTGTACATGCGTCAACTTGTCTCACCTTGCCGGATGCCCCCTTAATCTGGTCATGTCACCGTTAAAGAATAGGGTTCCTAGGCATGAGCTGCTTTAGCCGGAGAGGAAGATGTATAGTGCACATGAAATGTGTATGTCTATCATTAAGAGCCTTGCCAGCACTTATATTGTCGAGCTTGGTCCTAGTATCACCTCTCCCTGCGGTCGGTCGTCACCTTCCACTTTAACTTGTGACACCTACCTTGAACACTGCCACAGGCTGCTCTTTGAAACAGATGGAAATTTGGCTCCGAGATATGACATCTAAGAGAGGATATGTTTAAAATAGTGATGATAGTGTTTGCAGAACCGCCTCAGATCATTTCCAGAGCTTCACATGAAAATTTTGCACCATGATCTAGAAGGGCTCTTCAATGATTGTCGTTGGGATGTCGGGGACGGTTGTGGTGGTTACACCGATTTCAGTGGTAGTTCCGATACTAGTCGTTGTATCAACACTAGTAGTGGTGTCGATATCGCTTGGAGAACTGGCGGCCTCGGTCGACTCTGTCGTCTCACTGGAAGATGACTCCACGAGGTCTGTCGAGTACTCGATAGTCGGATCCGAGGAGGCTGTAGTTGGCGAAGATTCCGTGAAAGACGTATCAGAAGAAGGAACAAGGGATGAGGAGAGTTCTGTATCTGTGAATACGTCTGCGGAAGTGATCTCTAGTGTTGAAAACGATTCAAGAAAAAGCTCGCTGGAGAAAGAAGCGTCGGTGAAGTCTCCAGAAGAGTCTGAAGTAGATAGGCCAGAAGTCGGGAATTTGGTGCTGGCTGAATATGTTTCAGTGGATGAATCGACGAGCAATGTATCAATAGAGGAAGCTTCTTGGAGCGTTGATCTTGTCGGGACAGAATCTGTGGTGGAGAGGTAACTGTTGGAAGTTGTTGGGATATTTCGCTCCGTTGCCGACTCTGTGTTATCAATAAAGGAAGGATCCTCGGGAAGAATTGTCTGGGAAATAGCAGACGAAGAATCGCCTAGGATTGATGTTGGCAAAGAACTCGTTGAAGTGGGCGAAGCTTAGGTCGAGGTTTCAAGTAGGGAAGTTGATAGAGCTGAAGAATTAATCGACTCTGAAGACCCTATCGCCTCTGCGATTTCCGTTAGAATTGGGAGCTCGCTAGCACTGCTCGAAGCGATGGAGGACTCGGTAGTCTCAACGGGTGTCGCGGTGGAAGGGGTTCTAACATCAAGTTCCCCGTTCAGGCATTGGTCGACTGTTTGTATATGTGAGCCGCTGTTGCGAAAAGCCGAAAGCACCATGACGTACCTGTAAAAACGGAAATTGACACTGGTGTACAATTCTCGGGTGTATCGGAGAGTGTGATGTACACTTTTACAGTGGTGGGATCCTGGCAGAAGCCTGCTTGCCCATTCGGCAGGGAAGCGTTTATGAAGGCCAGTTTGCCCCCGACATTCTGAAAAGTGGTAGTCACAGCGCCATCTGGGGATTGCCCCTGAGCACTAAATGAACTGAAAGCTTGACCACTGTAGTAGATAGGCAGGTTGTTGTCAAGAAGTTGTCCCGAGACCAGGTTGAAGGCAATGGCGTCATCGCAGATATCAGGGTTGACTGTACCTCCGCCTCCTACGAAGCCACCGAGAGCCCTCTTTGACAAGCCTCGTTTCTCGAAGTTCGTATCGGGTACAACCTGAAAGATGATGCTTCGACCACCTAGATCGGGGCGTGCCGCGGTGCTGGAAGTGGGACTCGGGGTTCCGCAACCTGATGAAGTCAGAGAATCGAAGCTGGTGCTGGACGTGACTGTCGAGTCTGGAAGTTGCTGGTCTCTTGTTTACAAAGTTCCAAACGAAGCTGTGGATAAAGAGGTGAGTGGTGATAGCAATGTATCTGTGTATGGGTCGCTCAGAGCTGGACTATCAGCCATCGCTGACACGGGTGCTAGATACGTCGAGAAGTACGTGATGCACCAAGACTCCGGAATAGATACAGCATCCTGGACTGCGCCGGCGAGATTGATGACGTTCCCAAGAACGGCGAAGACCAAGAATCACCTCATATTGCTGAGGTAAATAATGATGAAGGGCATAAATATGAATGATGAAAAGCTCAAGATCGCTGAGCGACTGCGGAAAAGCCAACGTCACAAATTTCTATAACACCCGGCTTGGATCTCATGTAATGTTGACACTAGTGCAGGGAGAATGTTCCTACCTGCAGGGAGGCCAATGATCTCGGTAACAGCACCAAGACATGCTCCCAACAGCGTCGGATCGACGACCTGGAACGTAGTGCTATTTCCGATGTGAGACAGATTCGGCAAAACGAGTTCCAGCAAGCGCGCAGAGCTAGGAGACCAACATGTTTAAACACGCATCTAGACCGTCAGGAACGAAGAGGCTTTTAAGACGAACTTCAGCCCTATCGTTTCAGACAGTGTTGGTCGGACAGTGTCTCAGTTGTCTAGCTCGCAATAAGAAACATTGATTGCCAGCCAGCCACTCAAGCATGGCGGAAGACCTAGACTCAACGCCCTGGAACGTTGGGGCATCCCTTGAGTGCCGCTAGACCCCTAGCGATGTTGTGATTGCGCCAGCCCTTTCTACTTTTATAGCTTCCCTCCTCCAGTATGTGTTTTTGCTCTCCAAGATTCTCTTTAGTCACTCCTTTTAATAACCATGCGTCGCGAGTCAGCCACCCTGGCAGGTCTCTTGACCGTCGCCAAGGCGCAATCAATCCTAATCGATGGTGTCCTCTTCGCCTACCAAACAGCCACCATCACAGAATGCTTCCCCATGGGCAGCGGTGGCCTTGAGCCTACCCCAGGTCTTAGCATCGGCGGCAATGCACCCGTCATCCACAGACCAGCTGTAACAGGCCAACCCATCGTTGTTGAGGTCGAAGCCCCAAGGTGTGACTCGTGCGGCTGCGACGCCTGTGCTCACACTGAGGTGTACACTTTTACCTGCGATGCTTTTTGCGATACTGGTCTCTGCAAGCAGGCTTATGTCGTTACCGAGACGTACAGCGGCCTGACGGCAAAGCCTACCTTGGCTCCAACTGATCTCCCATTTGGCTTCACCTGCGACGTCCAGACTTGCACCACGTGTGGTCCTGAGCCGATTACTGCCACCATCACTTATCCGCTGACCGAGCGGCTCTATATCAACAAGGTTCCGGCTCCAACGGGCGTACCTGCAGGTTCAGGGCCTGGTGGGGGTGTGCCTGGGGCGAAGAAGCCGGCTGCTTATTCTCCCTCCCAAGGAGATGGCTCTGGGTTCCACTATGAGTCCGATTATGCATCTGGCGCAGACTCAACCGGTGTCAACTCCAACCCTGGGACCGACTCTGGTTCCAACGGCAACTCTCACTATGGCTCCGATTCTGACACCTACTCGAATGCCAACTCGGACTCCGCTTACGAGGCTGGGTCTAGCTCACGCCCTGGACCAGGATCTGGAGGCTCCCAACCTGGCTCTGATGCTGGATCACAACCTGAATCTTACCCTGGATCACAATCTGGGTGGCAACCCGGACGGGGCTCTGAAAACAATGCCGCACTAAACAATAAACAGACCACGGGTTCCGATTCTGCCTCCAACTCACCCGAGCGTATGTACCCCCTTGAACTCATTTTGACATGTAAGAGTGCTAAATCAAGCCAAGTGCCTCCTTCTGACCATCGACCTGTCTACGTCAGCTCGGCCAGCAAGTCAATAGTGATTCTCACCCTGGGCTTCACCAGTTTGGTTTCCTTTACCTTCCTAGCTCTTATCTCGTTGTAATACACTCATTATTCTCTTTGTACTCTCACTGTAACCAATGTGTCCCATGCCAGCCATTTTCTCGGTATACCTGATGAGAGGAAACCTAAGCGAGAGGTGAGCCACTGATGTGATGGGACATGCAATCCTTGGAGAGAAACCATGGTATTGATGCGGAGAAGTTCTGTCAGGTTCTCGAACGTTTCGCTGTTTCTAACATTAGGTTCATAATGATGCTAATGTTGTTTCAAAACTTTCTTCTGTGTTCTTGTCCGTGACTTTGCTTTTGTAGCCAACTGCCCAGAAGAAGAAAAAATGACATGATTACCAATGTCCCTGCATCATGCAGTCACAGAGTCTTATCTGTCACCACGTGCATAATGCGGCCAACTCGGACCGGCCTCGCGTCTCTAATTGAGAACCTTTGTCGTGTCAACATGGATCAACTTTTACCGAAGCACTCTGATTAGCTCGTATATTCCTTGTTCAGATCCAACCAGTGCAACGCTGAGATGCCCCGTCTGTAACTTGACAGCGGCCGTAAACAGTTCCCTGTGCTGTGCCGTAAGCATTAGAGCCAACACATGTCAAGGGGCCAAAAAACACGAGAAAAAAAAAGGAAAACGGACATGAGAGATAATTTGCTCCCTCCCCATCCTCCCCAATGAGGTGATTCGGCTCTGCCGGATGCCCTGGACTGGGTTTCAACTCGTTTCGCGATCCCTGCTCACTCCGGTACACTTGGTTGCATGGGAGACTGAACTTTTGACTGCATAAAGGCTTACTCGCTGCATGCTGAGCTGCCAGTCACCGTCGGAAATCTAACCGATGTTGCCGTCGCCAAGGCGATTGGTGGCATCCAGAAGCGATCCGGACATAATCCATAACCAGATCTGAACATTGTTGCCCCTGATGCTTGCAGTTTTGAGCCATATGCATTACCTCTAACTCTGTGTTTATCAGTCGCGGTATTCTTTCCATCTCTACGTACCAACATTGGATTAGTCTAGAAGCCAATATGTGACAATGCATGCCTTCATCCTCCAAAGGGTAATCTGGGATTCACACCACGTACGGTTCATATTCGGGCCGTTGGTTGCGGCAATGTCTCGACATTTAATTGATACTAGCCCCGTCGTCGTTGGACGTGAGTTGGGTTCGAGATGAAGCTTGTTCATTCTTGAGTAAAGAATCTCGAGGTATAATTTCGCAATGCCAGGCGTCGCCAAAGAGGCCGTAGTGGTAAGCCCAACTGCCCATTTCCCATCCTGGATTTTGATCAGCGTATGCATTTCCTAGATCATGACTCGCTTGCTAACCATGATCAATCTGGCAGCCTATCGAGGCCGTGCTCTTCGGGTTGTCGACGCTCCTCGTACTGGCCCGTTTATCACTCCGCACCATCCGTCAAAGACAGAAACTCACCATCAGCGATTGGCTCCTCGTCGTTTCTTTACTCGATGCGGCTGCCCTCCTCGGAACCGATACAGCCTCATACAATCTTGGGGGAATGGACGAATTTGACCCCAACGAGCCGGAGCGGAGCATAGAGGACCAGATCACGCTGATGAAGGTCTCGTTTGCGGGCAACTATTTCTACGACACGGGCGTCTACTTTCCAAAGCTGGCCTTGCTGGCACTATACTTCAAGCTCATTCCGCAGACCATGCCAGTCTTGCGCAAAGCTCTTTACGGCGTGACGAGTTTGACGGGAGCGTTCATGGTGACTACTTGCTTCTTGGATACGTTTTGGTGTGGTCCCAAGGTTTCGTTGAATTGGACGATTGATAGCAGTTGCACAACTTTTGACTCGAAGGAAGTTTTCCGTATTGATTGGGGAATGAACTTCGTGTCTGATATATTTGGTGCGTTTGCATTCAATGTCTACTAGAGTCTGTAGCTAACAAGGTGATGATAGTGTTTGCTCTTCCTTTCCCCCTTCTCTTTGGACTGCAGATCAGCAAACGCTACATGGCTGGCTTGGTTGCCATCTTTGCATCAGGACTCATCACGGTCGGAGCGAGTATAGCCAGGTTTGCAACCGTCGAAGCTATTCACGCTTGGACCAATGTTTGTAAGTCGTCGTCTTCAATCACCGTCATTAGACTAACCAACACAAAACAGACGTGTTATCAATGACTGAGATGACGGCTGCCATTGTCGTGGTTTCGCTACCAGCACTCAAGTCTCTTCTCCATGGGCTTGGACTACGCTCCTCGAAAAGGGGGACCACAAACACGGGCTCAGGTTACAACAAGCATTCAGCAAACGTAACTGTATCAAGCCACTTCAACAAGTTGTCAAGCGGGCGTGACAACGGGGAACTCTACGCCACTACCGCAAGAGTGGCAGCGGCCCCTGAAGAAGACTCTGGTAGCGAGGTGGAGCTTACAAACCTCCGAGGCATCTACAAGTCGGCTCGCATAAGTGTGACATACGAGCGGCGTAGCGATGTTGGCTGACAAGGGACGGGACGGAACAGGGGGGGGGAGATTTCGGGAGTTTATTGAAGCCGGTTGGTGTGTGTGGATACGCATTGGAACGATCAAAACGATCCAACAACTTGCCCAAGAGGGGACCGTTATCAAGAAGGAGAAAAGGAAACGATAAGAATCTGAGTAGACTTTGTATGATAGATGACCGAGTATATATAGAGATTTCACAATCTTTCCGGTAAACGGAAAACCAGCTTGATCAACAGTTCAACATACCTGTGCAATTGCTGATTGTCATCCCTCGAAGCCTCTGCAACAAGCAAAACTGCACTCTTCTCAAAGGCATGATTAGGGGGTTTCTTATTGGTGCATTAACACACCACTGCTTCCATGCTTCACAAAATGCAAATGTCAAGACTTGCAGCGTCTCATCTTCCTCTGTCACCAATGTTGCATCCGTTGGTGCTGGGGTTACGGTCGGCTTGCGATTCCAGTATCTACGGAGATTCTTCCGCGAAACCGACCAATGAATCAGTCACGTTTTGTCATTCTGCGGATTCCAGGGAGGCAATACTACCTTACCCCATGTCCGATATGTCTCCGGGTTTCCATGGAGTTAAATCCGCGATGCAATGTAAAGGCGTGTTGGTTGTTGGTTGTTCTTACGCCGTACACCTGCAGCGGATAAAACCCTTCCTTCAACCAGGGACCTGGACGTTGCAGATAATTTCTTTTCTCTCTAGCCGATGTTATTTCCGCAGAATGAACCCAGCACTGCCGTAGTGTCAAACTTAAACTAAAGCAAACCTGCGGCCCTGCAAATTGTTCTTCACTCTCTTTCATTCACTTCCTCACCACCGGATTTTCGGCCCTTCACAATGGCGTATTTTATCGATGGCAAGGACTGCATGGTAAGTAGAATCTTGTCCCTTTGCATGGTTCATATACTCACAAAATATCTAGGTCTCTGAATGGATCTTGTTGGCTGTCTCATACGTCTTTGTCGGCTTGCGTATTTACGCTCGCCTCTTCCGCCAGCGAGAAAAGCTATCATGGTCTGAAATCCTTCTGATTATTTCCGCACTCAACTCCCTCGCGCTCATCATCTGTGATACTTTGACCTTCCAAATTGGCGTCTTGGATAACTGGGAACCTTCCGTCAAACTGTCCAAGGTAACACACCCACCCAGCAACCAGATTAGGTTTGGATATGGCTCACATAATACCTCTAGATCTCCTTTGCTTCCAACTACTTCTACGATGTTGGTATGGGCTTCCCCAAAATGAGCATGCTGGCCTTCTACTGGGCTTACTTCCAACCCTCCACTGGCATCAGCTCTGCCATGCGCAAGTCGCTGTACGGAGTCACTGCCTTTGTCTGCGTGTCATACATGGCCATCCTTTGGGACGACACCTTCTTCTGCGGCAAGGACGTTTCCGTTCAATGGTCTCAGGAGGAGGGAGCCTGCAGTGTCTTTTACGCGCCTGAGCCATTCATTCTCAACTTCACCCTGAACCTGGCCTGCTACCTTGCCGGTAAGTTGCACTCCCCATCACACATTGGTGTGCATCAACTAACGCGTCTCAAGTCTACGCTCTTCCTCTTGTCTTGTTGATCCAGGGTGTCATCAAGCCCTCGACTGGCGTCACTGTCACCTTCGTCTTTGGTACCCTAACTATCTGCACCACTATTGTCCGATTCATCACTCTCAAGGTCGGCACCGGCCAGGAGAATCTTGTCTGTAAGTTATAACTACTCTTCCATGACGATGAATGATTATCTGACCACTTCTTTGCAGACCCTCTCAGTATGCTTGAGATGGCACTGGCTAACATTGTTGTGGCTCTGCCTGGCTTGAAGCCTCTTCTAAACCGCTCTCCCAAGTATGAGGCTTCCAGTGAGGTGATAGACGTCAAGCATTAGGGAAGGTGTTGAAATAATTGCCTCTACTTGTTGGCAAAGCAAGTATTCAATTTCTCTTAAATTTGCTCACAAAGGGTGGTCGGTATTAAATACATAATTAGTAGCGTTGGGCCTTGGCCATATAGAGCCTATGTTAGACTAGGCATATGTCTTCCACACCTGTGCGACCGTATCCATACTCCCAGTCGTCCCACTCCGTATAATAGTCGTAGCCTTCTCCATACATTATGCCGTGTACATATGATTCGCCCACAACCCGATACTTGGAACCCTCGACGTGGTGCAGGATGAAAGGCACTCTTGCCCCCATGAGGATCCATACCTCGTCCTTGCTGCTGGCGTCTTGTCCAAGAGATTTAGGGCCCAGTCCGAATAACCCCGATTCTGTCATGAACAGTTTCCGTCCCTCGGTAGCGTTGCGCATGTTTTTCTCAAAGTTGCGAAGTTTCCTCCTCTCCAGGGGCGTGAGTCGTTGCATCGAGGGCCTCTTGTATTTTCCGCGGAGAGGGTCTTTGTCGCCTTCGGCCTCGTCTACTTCAGCGTGGAAGCACTCTCGAATATGTGTCGCGGTGGGGAGAAACTCTCGGTGGCATAAAGAACCATCATCATCCTCCTCCTGCTCATCTGACCTTTTACCTTCTCGTTCAATTTTTTCCGTTAGATCTTCCGCAAACTTTTGAAGATCGGGAATAGCCAGTTCTTCGGATGGTTGCTTTCCATCATACAGGGCCGACCAGAGAGCCATGCGAGTGCAAAAGGATTTATCTATGAGTATTCGCGTCCACTGGTCTTGCTCAAGATTAGCCCACTCTATGAGTAGATCGCGGGCCTCGAGGATGTCGGTCAAGATCCAGTTGCTGAAACCTATTCCAAGGTTATCTCTTGACTCTAGACTACCATGATCTTCTTCCATCTCGGTCAGATTGTCAATGACAAGCGTACGCCACAGAGCCTCTACCCGGGTTATTGCCCGTGGCGGGCGTATATGACGATTGCTGCCCGCGAACCACGCCCTTGGATTGATAAGGTAACGTGGTGGGCCGCGAAGTGCTAGCCGTAAAGCCTGGATGACGGCGTCGTCGCCTAGTTCTGTCGATACGGCGACTTGGTCCACTTTGATAGCCTTGACAGCGAGAGTGTCATCAGGGTAAATATGGAAACAAAAATCTTCGATGTCTATTTCCAAACCAGTCCCGGCACAGAAGCGGTCATCATGTCCACCCTGGTCGAATGGGATCCGACCCAGCCTGGCACTAAAGTCAGGCACCCAGCTAGGAAGGCCTTGAATCCTGGTGCCTGACGAGTCTTGCAGATGGGATAGAACAGCGAGTTTAGAGCCCCTTCGTTTGTTGATCATGGCCCTGGCTGCCTGGATAAAGACGTCTCGTACTTCGGCAGAGTAGTCTGGTACCAATCCAAGGTTATCCTCGGCAAGATTCAGAAAGGCAAAGATCTTGTCCCGTGGGTCGGTGGCCTCAAGATCGCGGAAGTGAGAGAGAACAGACAGCAAGTGTAATGGTCGACGCTCGAATCTGTATCCATATCCCTTCATCTCCTCACTATACTCACGTATAGTATCGTGATCATCAAGGTTGATGGACGCAGGGAGCTCTACGTGCCATCGATTGGTCATGGTCGACTGATCACTCCGTTCTTCGCCATCTCGTAGATACACCATGGGCATGCCCGCGTTGCAGAGCCCAAGGCGTGAGCGTGTATGGTGACACCCCAGAATGAACGATAATGCGTCGCGTGGGTTGACCTGCAGCTCCTTCATTGTGTCTGGTGAATGGGACGAGAACGAAGCCAGCTTCTCCCAATGCTGAGTTTGATCAGACGCCGCTCGATCGGTGAGAAAGTTTCTACCCAGTTGGCACAACTCATAGTCAAGTCCAGTCTCTTCAAAGAATGCAACGACTGCTAAGACGAAATTCATGTCGAAAACTGTTGGACCGCATATCATATATCTGTTGGGCGCAAAAACCACCTCTTGAGCGACCCAAGCCCTGCGGAACCACAATCGCTGGAAGAGAGCGAAAACGGCAAACCAGTCCACCACCGTCATTCCGGTAACTGAAGAGAGCGTGACCTCTTCCTGCTCAGGATAGGATGAGTCTCGTGCATGGGAGCGGGTGGCGTCGAAATCGAGAATTGTACCCATCGCCAACAACGCCCGGTATGAGAGACGGTCAAGCTTGCCCACCCAGGCATACACCAGGCTTGCTGTTCTGTATAGCTGGCCCATGAGCTTGACTTGGGAGGCGCGTTCTGCTAGGTCGGATTGGTTGATACAAAGGGCATCCGCCCAGACAGGAGGCCACTTCTTCTTCTCAGAATCCTGATCGTTGTCCTCGCCTGAAGCTTCATCGAGTCGTTTTCGGATGTTTAATAGCGCTTCAAAGCAAAGAAACAGGTTCTCCTCGACAGGGACCTGATTCCCATCAACTTCGACCTCTCTCGACGAGCGATTCTGCCAACGCAACTCCTCGCGTGGGATGTAGTTGTATTTGGCGTAGAAATCAAGTTTTGCCCCATCGACCATGCAGATCGACTCGCCATCTGGTCCCATCGGGGAAGTAAAGTAGCTAAATGGTAGCTGGGATGCATGTTGTTCCATTGTAAGGCCGGTTATATCTGGCATCGGGTCCTCATGAACCGTGATGGGATCGCCCCAAGTGTATGAGATGGCGGCAAACTCGAGGCCCTCGTCTTCTAGATCAACCACGCTCATGGAACATCGAATTACATCGTCTCTGGATTCGATGATGTCCAAGAGCCTAATGGACGTCGGCGTGGGAAGGACGTGGGACTCGTACATCTTTGACGGTCTTTGTTAACGGTTTGGGGCGTATGTTGAATAGATTATTGTACAGTAGAAGTGCGTGGGGATACCGATAGTTCTAAAGCTCAAAAGAAACGATTTGGAGGACGTAAAGACTTTCAAGGGGAGACCGTCCTGCTGAATAGCCGCTGGTGGCGTTCCTCATTCGTGGAGTCGACCATTCAGGGCCCGCATGAAGCGCTGCCAAGACTCAAAACGCCTCGCCAACGCTGAGGTTGATTGACGGCATTTGACCGGGGTTTTCAGCTGCAAGGAAGAAGATTGGCTGCTCTTCGTTTCACTCTAATCTGTATTTACCATGGTGTCGACTACTCTGTATCTTGAGTGTGGATTTTAAAATGCCTCAGTACAGTTCAACCCATCCTTCATTCCGCCTCACACCTTTTAGAAATCCATTCCCAAAGTCTCAAGAATTACTTAGAGCTAGATTGTATCAACCGGCGTAACTCGTGCCCAACATAAATACAGAGCCTCATCATTGTCCATACCTTGACTAATCTGTCTCAACGTGCAGTCTCTTGGTTGGTTCCAGCACAGCCCCCTTCCGTAAGGGGTGCCATTGTTGCCTTAAAAGCGACATCTTCCTCGTCACAAAACAAGGCTCTTTCGACCTGTCTTCATACACTTCTATCAGGAGGTTATGAAAGCGCACCCCGTCGCACACAGCCCCCCACCACTCCAAAGCCACGGCGCTTGAAGCACGACACGACCCAGTGTCTATTCTCTTAGCGCCCTAATTTAATCGTTTGACCTAGATATTTGCATCTTTTACCTCGCCTCTGCGTTATGCCAGCACCTAGAAGTAAGAGGTACCGCTCTGACGATTCGGACCCTCGAAAACGGCTCCTCCGTCGCCCGCCAACTCCTAGCCCTCCAGCTCCGAAGTGGATCGACATAGAACTCATTCACACCTGGATCCAGGAGTGCGATGCCAAGCATGGGGATCACTGCCAAAGATCAGGCTTGCCTGGTGAATCTCATCTAGGCTTACCCCGCTGGCTGATCCATGTCAGGGAAAAACGCCTAGTGCCCTTCGACCCAGTCTGCCGATATGTCGCTCTTAGCTATGTCTGGGGGAAAACGGGCCCCAATGATCCCCAACTCTTGTTGGGCAATCTCCTCGCCTTTCAGGAAGTCGGCTCCCTTGAGACGATGTGGGAACAACTCCCCCGAACAATTCGGGATTCGATTGAGTTTATGAAACGAGTCGGGGAAGAATTTCTATGGGTCGATCGTTTCTGCATCGTTCAGGATGATGATGTGTCAAAGCAGGAACAGATTCGACACATGGCCTTCATCTACGGCAGCGCATATTTCACGCTGGTAGCTGCGGCTGCTTTCTGTGCTACAGGAGGGTTGAGAGGGATTAGAGACGTCACCCCATCAATGGTTGTCGACCACTGGTCAGGCGAGGGTCACTATGGTCTCGTCGCGAGCTCAGGGTGGAACCGCCGAGGCTGGACGCTGCAAGAACTCGTGTTTTCACAACGAGCACTTTTTTTTCATCACAACGAGATTACTTGGGAGTGCCACTGTGCAGTGTGGCATGAGCGCACACCCTTGGAAGACTTGTGTATCAAAAACTGCTTCGGGACATATGCACGAGATACTCGCGGTTTCCATTATTCCCCTTGGCCGAATTTGGAGGAATTCTATCACTTGGCGGCCAGCTATAGTCAGAGAAGCCTATCTTTCTCAACGGACATCCTGCCAGCTTTCACCGGTATCATGACGGCTTTGACTCCCTCATTCCCTGGGGGTTTCCTGTTCGGCCTCCCCGAAGTTGCGTTCGACGTTGCTCTCTTGTGGAGAACAACAGGTCGTGCATCCTTCTGTTTCCAGCTGGGCGTGGGACCTGTGCCCAGCTGGTCATGGATGAGTTGTCTATACCTGAAGACATCAGCGGATTTTTCGCCATGGGCAAGCGCGTTCTCGTACTTGGATAGATCCGATTTTGACCAAGATCGCCAGCAAAGATACGGCTCTCCTTCTTGGAACCGTAAATCCCCTCCTGAAGGTCTTTTGGATGGCCTAGTAACCAAACCACTCTGTACCTGGTATGTCAAGGAGACTACAGGAAACAGGCACATCTCGAATTACCTGGATGGGTTCAAGCGTTGCAGCCTTGACCCTGCGCTTGAGCTACCCCCAGGCTGGCAAAAGGACGGGAATGTCTTCCATCATCCGTGCGATCCAGAACGCAGATTCAAGTACCCGATTCCTCTTGTGACCGATGGAGAGAAGGAAGGGTTGAGGAAAGAAACTCCATTTCTCATAACGTGTAAGACGGAGCGGGCGTGGCTTTGGAATATTCGTGCGCCATTCGGGGAGCCCATTTACAAACTTGAGGGAGAAGCCGCCATCAATCTCTCCGACAGCGAAGGGACGTGGGTTGGGTGTCTCCGCGTTCAGACACTAACTGTCCTGTGGCGGCTTCTGTCCAAAAGGGTAAAGTGTGAGTTGGTGGCGATATCTACAGGATCTATAGATTCAACCGCTGGTGGGTGGAGTCTTCTTGATGAATATCCGGAGTTGAAGAATCAGGGTCGGGAATCATTCGAGTTCTACAATGTCTTGCTTGTTGATTGGAAGGATGGCGTTGCTTACCGGCAGGGCGTTGGCCGCGTTGACAAGTCAGCTTGGGAACTGCAAGATCGGGAGGAGTTTGAGTTGGTGTTGGGCTGAAGCAGACGCAAAGACTACAAACAAGTCTTTGAAGTGGTATCTTTGATAGATATTAAGAGACTGTGTAACATTTCGTGGTGTATTCTTGCGGCTTTCATCGCAAATCGAAGTGGTAATATGAGTGACGCGAGCAACGTTGTATGTAGATAGAGACTATAAGAACATCATCGTGATAGAAACAGCTTCTGAGGAGTGAAGGAGGAGAGGGTGGAGAAGGAAGCATAATATGATTGGATCCCATCAGGTTAGGCGTGCATCGGGGGAGTTGAGGGCCGGAACGCGTCAAGCAGTAAACAGACTGCTGCCAATGACGCGGTCGACGATGTGGGGGGAAGAATATTAAGAAGCTACTTTATCTTTAGTGGATTAGACGCTGTAGCGAACAGTAGCTCACTAATGGAGGACGGAAAGAGTGATTATGATTGGCTAGACTTAGTCCCCGGATGTCGAAGGTTCCGGGTAGGCTGCGACAGGGAGACTCAGAGCCCTTTCAAAGCTACATTTGAACCTATTAACGGCTACAAAAACAGCCAAGGTATAGCATTTCCCTAATGCACCTTAATGAGCATTCAAGACCTTAATCTTAGTCTATTTGCCCTTCTTCCAACACTCCCAGAGGACTGGAAGACGACGTAGAGTGATCTCGCGAGATTCAGGTCTTGTTCAACAACGATGTAAAAGATAATAATTTGGGATTTCTGGAACAAGTATTTTTGAAAGCTAGAAACTGTTGCCAGAGGTGGCAATAACGGTAGAGCTGTTAATGACCTCAAGCAAGTAACTTTTCTCCCAAGAGGTTCCTCGGCTTGGTGGTTGGCAGGACACTATCCGAGTTCCATGCTTGACCGCTATTTCATTGTTTCAGTCTTTAATGACGAGTCTGTGAGTTGGCCGTTACTTAAAAGATGAATTGGCAACAGCTCACTCAATAATTAAGCCATAGGAGCACATCATAAGAGCACTAGGCACCGATCCGCAATGAACCCAGGAGAGATATGCGAGCACAACATCACAACAATTTATACAATATTTGAAAACCGGGAGAAATAAAGGTTTGTTTGAACTTGGCAAGTCATGGAAGAGCAAGGACCATCCATGGTTGGGATGACTTTTATCGTTCCATGCGGTGTGCACCCTATATTATCCCACAAATAGCGGCACCTAGATGAAACAGAGTCCTCTAATAAAAAGAGATTCCTCTCGCAATACGACTGCGTAACGTTGCTTACACTGGAAGATCAAACACCATTCCCTTTATTAGGAAGGTGTGAATCCTTGTCGTTTGTAATAGATACTACTCCAATTGGCGCGTTTATTTCTATGCTTATTCCCAGAATAGAGTTCGGACGTATACGATCCGAACAGGACCATTTAGACTTTCCATTCGTATTGGGTGCCACTGTGATTGGTGCGATTTGTCCTTACTTTACATGCTCCCACCATTCGGACTATTGGGAATCCTTCTAGAAGTCAAGTATGATACTCCAAGCTCCTACGTGCTGGGACGACATGAACTGATATAAAAGCCAGTGTCCGACATCAACCATAAATGTTTCACTATACCCAACAGTCAACAAAGCTCAATCATCTTGCATCACTTTCCATCTCGCTACTCAAGTCCTGATGCGTTTGACAACCTCTTTCTCGGCCATTCTGGCCTTGGCGCTAACCGCCAATGGTCTTGACTTGTCTGAAAGCCAAGACAGTGACTCTTCTGTCTGGCCACCCCAAGAGGCTGTTTCTCACGAAACTCGCGACACTCGGGTTTGGAATCGACCCGAGAAGCGTCAATCCGGCTGGAACCCGCCATCCAACTTGGTGACGCCACTGAAACAAGTGTGGGATCACTGCAAGGCCACGTATTCTAATGGTCTCTTTGGATTCCGCAACTACGGCTGGGATCAGATTAGAGCCACTTCGGGGTAGGCATTTGTTTCTCCGTTGTCCATTGATGGGCGGCTAACAAGTACATAAGATCTATCAATGTTTGTGTCCGGTGGGAGTCCAACACCCCCGTCACCGAAGCCCAGCGCAAGCAGATTGCTACTGTTTACAACCAACAGTATCAGAAATGGTTTCAGTGGGTGTATGGATATGACGGATTTCCGTATTCCAACATCAAGGTCAACGTTGTGGGTTGGGCTGTTCGCGACCGATCTTTGCTCCAAGGATCAACGTCGGGCATTGACGTCTACACTAACAGAGACAGCGAGGGTGCTCCAGAATGCGCTCCCGCTTGTGGCCGCTTTTTCCACCAGAACGGGGACTACAGCCAGTGCCCTGGAGGTGCTTCTCGTCACTATGATCAGTCTCTGTGGCTCACTGATGGCTTTGGCGGTGGTGCTGGTGGTGACTGGGGTCAGAGGATGGGTCGAGAGTATTTCATGAACAGCATCAACCTTGCAGACATGCAAATCCTACTTCACGAGATGGGACATACCTTTGGCTTAGATGATTTCTACGGTTTGTCTTCGATGCTGAATTCACGAACTGAATTGCTGACTTTGACTTAGACTGGACTCCCTCTGGTATTACCAACTTTATCATGCTGGCTGGCAGCTCCGGCAAAATTACTGACTTCGACGGCTGGATGCTGCGTAACTGGTGGTATGAGCTGAAGAGAAACCGGGGATGGTGAGCGGAGTAACTCAGCCAAGTTTATCTTTCATTGGTCATGTTGCTTTTTGATATGGAATGGGTAACCTGTATGCGTTGATCCATGAGTTGCGCCAGTTGTGTGGCATTTGATTCTTGTTTATCTTTTATTTTGTATATACTTGCCAGTCTCTCCCTTGTAAAAAGATCAATGTGCAGCTAGGAAACCGCATTATATAAAGTTGATCTACATCGCGCCGCATTTCTAATTAAGATATTCTGTTTAGAGACCTAAATAAGCTACCGTGCGCTTGCTCAACTGGACTGTTCTTGTATGTTTAGTGCGTGTCTTCGCTGATTTAGCATCGTGATGCTCACTAGGTTGCGAACATTTAGTTTGCGGTTTTTACATCTCGCCTTCAGTGCTATACGGCCTTAGGTTTTATTTAAGGCCGATATTGTGTCATGAATTATATAGGCCTATTGTAAGTCACGCGTTATATGTATAAATATACCTCAAGGCTTATTAATACACAATAGAACGGCCTCTTAACCCCCTTAACCCTGCTATAGTGCAGGCCCTATATATCATAGAAGTATATACCCCCGTGTTCGGGAATACCGGCTGTCTGGCTCAGTCATCCCATTGAAGGGCGGGCCCCAACTATAACAAGGAGCACAATAGTTCGGGAATGACCAAGGTCAAAAGAGGGGTCTCACCACGAGTCTCTCCACGACAGGGGCTGGCGCTTCGCATTTCCCTTTCCTCCATTCAGAGGGGGCATGATCAACCAAACGGACCTTTTACCCCAGTTTCAGCGTTGTCGGCAGTTGACGTCGGACTCGAGTTTTACGAGTAGGCCCGATTTGTGGGGTTGTTAGTCGCGGGGATTGCACCCTTTGCGGAGATCAACAACGGTCTTGAGGTCATGGGGTCGGTTAAACCATGGGGCCCCAAACCACTTGGCCGATGAGAACAACCCATATTGTAACGAATGATTGCGGGACCTCGGATGGTTAACATGACCGAGCGGGATCATAGAGCCGATGAAGGAGGAGGTATAGCCCGATACATAAACCCAGTAGTCCTACTGTTGTCCAGGTTCCGGACACAGCCACGAGACTGGCCAGACACTGTTCTCTACTTGTACTTCGTCTCATGTGAGCTACAATCTCAATATGATTCGTTTGGCTCTCTTTGGCCTCTTTGGGTCAGCCGTCTCGTTTCCCACAAGACACTCACCGACTGTCTCGGTCAAGAACGGCACATACGCTGGTGTTTACAGTCCACAATATGACCAAGATTTCTTCCTTGGCATGCCCTATGCTCAGGTTAGATTTTGTCTTCAACACTCGTTCACCATGCTGACCTCTGCTTAGCCGCCTGAGAGATTCACGTTGGCAAAGGAGCTGGACACGGCGTGGAGTGAAACTCACCAAGCTGTCGAGTATCCCTCCCACTGCTTTGGCTATGGCTCCGATCAGATCGGATATGCCCAGTCCGAGGACTGCCTCTACCTAAATGTCGTGCGACCTGCTGGCATAAAAGATATCTCCAACCTCCCCGTTGCCGTCTGGATCCACGGAGGAGGATTGTTCATGGGCGGCTCTGCTGACCGGAGGTACAATCTCTCGTTTATCGTGGAGCGCAGCGTTGAGTTGAAGACTCCCGTTATCGGCGTCAGCATCAACTATCGTCTTTCTGCTCTTGGCTTCCCCTGTGGCAAGGAGGCTTTGGACGAGGGGATTACTAACCTTGGGTTCCGAGACCAACGTCTCGCCCTGCGATGGATTAATGAAAACATTGGAGCATTTGGTGGTTCTCCTGACAAGGTGACGATTTTTGGAGAAAGCTCAGGCGCCGAGAGTGTCTCAGCTCAGGTCTTTGCGTATAATGGTGAGTAATATGTTTATTGGCTACACCATTTCTAACAGGAATAGGGCGCGGGGATGGTCTGTTCCGAGGTGCCATTGCTCAGTCTGGTTTCGGCGGTGCGATTGGCAGATTCCCAGGGGGCTTCAATGCTACCGCCGACATGCAAACTGTATATGATGCTCTCGTCGGTAACGTCACTTCCTGTGCGGACTTGGTTGGGAAGCCAGAGTCTCTAGAGTGCTTACGAAAAGTACCCTTCGAAGAGATCAACTATGCGTTGAACGTGAGCAGTGTTGGACCTTGGCCTCCAGTGTTGGACAACGACTTCATCGCCGACTACCCTGCCAACCAGGTTGCCAACGGAGATTTCCCCAAGATCCCGATCCTTGTTGGTGCCAACTCAGATGAAGGATCCGCCTTTGGTTCAGGCAAGGGGCCCAACGGTGGCGGAGTCAACACAGACGATGAGATGCGGGATGCAATCGCAGCCATAATCCCCGCTGACGCAGAGGTTCAATCTGGCAAGTCTGTTGATGAGTTGGTTGATGAACTCATGGACCTCTACCCCAACGATCAGAGTGTGGGTGTTCCGTCTCTAGAGACCTGGCCCCATATCATCGAGCCGGGCGACACTTTTGCGCAACAACTTGGAGCCCAGTATCGACGAACAGGCGCTCTGTTTGGCGACTTTTCAATGCAGTATCAGAGACGTCGTGCCAACAAGGCTTGGGCAAAACACGGTCTTCCGAGCTACACCTATCGCTTCAACGTCACTGTAAATGGTTTGCCACCGTTCACTGGCGCAACACACTTTCAAGAGGTAAGCTATCGATCCTAATAGTATCATTATTGTATATGAGCTGAAAGTTAACTGCTTAGGTTGCCTTTGTTTTCAACAATATCAACGGAGACGGATATAGCACCAACCCATTTGGTGGCAACGGAACGTATCCGGCAAAGGCCAAGGCGCTGGCCAAGGCGATGTCATCTTCATGGATCAGCTTCTTTGCTAACCTTGATCCCAATGGAAGCCATGACTTGGGTCTTCCAGATGGCCAAGACTGGCCAGTTTACGCTGCTTCATCTGAGGCTCCTGATGGGGACGGTATTGTCTTTGATGTGAATAGAAACCACATTGAAGTCGATGATTGGAGATCAGGAGGAATGGACTGGATGAACGAACATGGTTTGACAGTCTTTGGCAATTAAGAGACGGAGGCTTGAGGCATTGGATCTGTTATGAGTTGTGCAGACGTGTCAATGATATAACCTGGACAGAGATAGTGCCCCTCCGGTGCCTAGAGGTGATGAATAGCAAAAGTTTACCCTTGTAAAGAAGGCATTAGGCGTCTTTAATAGGCTCCTTAAGCAGTTTTAAAAAGACACATGACTATTACTTCTCTTTGTTAAGGCGTTACAGTAGTTATAGCCTTTAAGAGATTGAGGCACCGGGGGAGGAGATCTCAGACATCGCCTACGCCCAGTCTTCCATCCCTTCGTCGGGCCTGGGGCTCGCGACCGAGGTGCTGATTTACATCCTCACCGTCGTGTGCGCTGTCGTCATCGCGCTGCGGGTGTACGTCAAGACATGGAGTTCTGAAGCATCTCAGGGGTGGAGGGTCAACGACTACCTCGCCGTGATTGGGTTTGTGAGCTTTCCATTTCCGTCTGATGTTAGTTGAAAGTTGCTAATCATGACCTTTGGTAGCTCCCCTTCATCCCCGCAAGCGTGCTGGGCGCGCTCGCTGTCCACTATGGCATCGGATCGACGGACGCGTATCTCAACAAGTTCGAGATGAGAGAGTTTCTCGAGGTCCGGGGGATGGAGTATCTGATTCTTTACGAGCTCACCTACTACGCCTCGTCGTCGCTTACCAAGTTCGCCATCGCCGTCACGATCCTACACCTCTGCGTTGAGAAGAGATACGTCTACATCATGTATGGACTCATGGGTGTCATGATTGCCACCAATGGTATCTGTCTGATATGGTTGTTCGTCAATTGCTTTCCATTTGCGACGTACTGGAATCCGAAGCTGGGCCATTACAAGTCGGAGGACGGTTTCATGAACCTCAGCTACATTGGAACTGCTGTTCAGGTGGCTTCGGATTGGACGTGTGCCATCATGCCATTCTTCATCGTCTACTCGTTGCAAATGCCCAAGCGAGTCAAGATATCGGTTGTCGCTATCCTTGGTCTTGGTGTTGTGGCCAGTGTAGCCGCTCTGATGCGCATCGTCAGTTACAAGTATATCGACGTCAGGGCGTACCCAAAGGATCACTTTCGTGAGTACCAGCTTACCTCGACACCTTCATCAAAAGCTAACAAATAGAAGTCTCGCAAGGCCGACTTCTCTTCTGGTCCCTTCTGGAGTCTGCCTTTGCTATCATCGCCTGTTCACTGCCGTCACTCAAGCTCTTCGGTGGATGCATAGCCCGATCCATGATCCGTTCGACAAATAACGTATCAGGAGGAGCTGTAAGGTCCCCCACATATCTTAAACTTCAAGTTGATTGCTAACCGCGACTAAAGAGACCGCCATACCGCCACGAGACGCCCCTTCATTCGCTCACACCAAAAGGCCAGACTCGCATAACGATCTTCAGGCTCAGTTAACCCATCAAGGGCCAGGCTATAACTATAATAAAGAATAGATCTTAAATATAATATAATATTATAACCTAATATTAATATAATAACCTAATTAAACTTCTATAATAATAAAAGAGTTATACCTAGCTATATTATTATAAAAATCTAACCTCTTATAGGTATTTTAATTACTTTAATCTCTATATAAGAAATAAGAGAATTATTTACTTTTCTATCTTTTTAAGCTATAATTATAACGATCGTGGGATTCCTAAGGGATAAACCAGTTATATCAATTTATATTAATAGAGGAGAATATTATATAACCTTAAAAGGTAATATAATATTATATCTAATAATATACTTAAGGTATTAAGTATAACTAAGTTATATTAATAGCTAAGGTAGTTACTTTATAAGAAAGTATAATAAGTATATCCTATATATTTTATGCAAGAGGATAAATTATAATAGATTATAACCTATAGGGCCTAAGCTATTATAATCCTATTTATTAGATTAGAGGGGATTATAGCCTATAGGCCATAATCTATTTTAATCCTTTTATAATTAGTAGGATAATATAGGTCCTTTTTATTATATAACCCGGGGGTCTCTTAGGCTATAATATAATATCTCCCCTCTATTAATCTTATCCTTAAGGCTATATCTGCGACTTTAATTACTTTATATATATATACCTATCTTAGACCTATAAAAATCTTTTACTAATATATTTAATTATCTTATTTTTTCTAAGAAATAATTAATTATTATTAAACTAGGCGATATTATTAATTATTTTAGATTTAAAATTATATTTTATTTATTTTATTATTCCTATGGCCTTTATTATATAGCTTTACCTAAGAAATTAGATTACTATAGGGAATATACCTATTATAGTCTTTCTTATAATACCTTAGCGAATATTTCTAGTATTTATTTATATATTCTTACCTATAGGGTTTTTATTATTAATAATTCCTAAGTAAACTATATTTACCGGGAGTCTAATTACCTTAATTCTAAGGAGGAGTATACTAAGTATAACGAGAGGATATTTCCTAAGGGATAAACCGGTCATATAGGTTTATATTAGCAAAGGAGAATATTATATAACCTTAAAGGGTAATATAAGTTATATCTAGTAATATACTTAAGGTATTAAGTATAACTAAGTTATATTAATAGCTAAGGTAGCTATTATATAAGAAAATATAATAAGCGCGTTTTATATACTTATAGTTAATCTTTTAGACTAATATTCTCTAGGTTTAATCTAAGGTAAGACTAATATTTCTAATATTTAATCCTTAGATTAATATAGGCGATATTTAGTCTTTTTAATCCCCTACTTAGTTAAAATATTTTTATTATAATTCCCTACCTAGCTTATATTATAGCTATAATATAAGGTTCCCCTTTTATTAATCTTATCCCTAAGATTAGTTTTAATAACTAAATATTATTAATAAGTAACTCTAATTTATAAAAATCTCCTTTTATTAATATAATATTAGGCCAAGTTTCTAAGTATATTTCCTTATAAAAATTTTCTAAAATATAAGATCTTTTTATTTATATTAAGGCTTTTAGTTCTAAAATTATACCTTATATTTATTATTTCTACCAGGGCTTATCCTATAAAGTAATTTCTAATTATTTTAATTATTATTTTAATTATATTAATATAAAAGTAATATATAATAGAGCTAATATAGCTTTTTTTTATAGGTATATATTAGTATTTCTTTATAGATATTAGCTAATCTTCTATAATTATAAAAAATATCTAAGAGTATAAGCGCCTAGAAGACGAGGAGGCTAAGGTAAAGGCTACCTTAGAGGAGGTAATAGCTAAGTTTACTTATATCTAAAAATAAAAGAGATTACTTAAAATATATAATAACGAGGCCTTTAAGCGCGGCTTATATACCTTAGAGGAATTAAGCGAGCTCTATGAGGAGTTATCTATTTGTCACGGCCATAATATGAGCTAGGCGGGGAAATTTAGTAGAAATACTCTAATTAAGTAAGGGACCGAAGGGACTAAATATCGCCTATATTAATCTAAGGACTAAATATTAGAAATATTAATCCTACCCTAGACTAAACCTAGAGAATATCGGTCTAAAGATTAACTATAAATATATAAAATACGCTTATTATACTTTCTTATATAGTAGCTACCTTAGCTATTAATATAACTTAATTATACTTAATACCCTTAAGTATATTACTAGATATAATATTATATTAACCTTTAAGGCTACGTAATATAATCTAATATTAATATAAACTAATATAACCGGTTTATCCCTTAGGAAATATCCTCTTATTATATATTAATAACTCTTATTTATTAAATTACTTATATTACCTTAAATAATATTAAACGCAATAGCTACTTAGGCTACTCCTAGTAATAACTACTAATAGGTTCTACTTACTAATTATCTACCTACCCCTATCGCACCTATTTAAGATAACCCTAATAGCGACGAGGAAATAGATAATAACGACGAAGAAGTTAAGTAACTCTATGCCTAGGTTACTACTATAATTACTAAAATAAAAGAACTTAGAGGACTTATTAATTATATAGCCGCTACTTAGTAAGCTTAAAACTAGTAATACTATAAGAATATCTAGAATATTAATAGCATAGTAATTACCGCTATAAAAAGAAAAAATATTAGAGAAATCCTAAAGTTAAAATAATTAGAGAAGTTTAATAATACTACATATAAATTACTAATATTTTTTATATAACTATATATATTTATGCTCTATTATCCTATATAGTTTACCATAGTATCTAATAAGGTCTAATATATCGCGGGGCATCTCACTAAGTATATTATAGCCTAGTTTAAACCTATTATAAAGGAATATCTTACTAAATTACTTAATAAATATTTACCTTAAACTATAAACCTCTATTCTAGCTTTAAAGCCTTTAAAGCTATACTCTAATAAGCTTTTAGAATAATAAATAAAAAGGCCTAAGTAAAAAGAGAAATTAAGGTACTCTAATAAACTCGCTCTATATCAGAATATAGCACTAAGTACCTCTAGCTCGCCTTAAAGCTTAACTAAGACTAAGAACCCCTAATATCCTTTTTCTTTAATAGACTTAAGAAAGAAATATAGGCTAAACTCTATAAGGAAGACTAGCCTAATAACCTTATTAATTATATTAGCTAAGTAATTAAGATCGACGAATAATAATTCTCTTAGAAGAAACTATAGAATCCTAGGATTAGTAATAATAAGGCTAATACCCCTCGCTTCGATGCTAACTAAGGCAAAAGGCGATAAAGTATAATATATAGCACTTACCCCGGACCTATAGAATTAGGAGCTATCTAATAGTCCCCTAAGGATATTAAATACTACTATTACTATAAAAAAGGCTATAAAGCTAATAAATACTAAAAGAAATAACGAGATATATAGGAGGGACACTATTAGCCTAATTAAATATAATAACTCCTAGAAGGGAAAAAATAGGTAAGATTTATATAGGCTAATAAGGACCCCTAAATAGCTATCTAAATAATTAAGACCCTCGGAATAACTAAGACTAGCTATAATAAAAGAGGTACTAACCTAGGGGAAATCGCTATACTATATAACTAGGTATACCTTAATAAGGAATAAGCTAAGTATAATATTAATTATAGGAACTATAGCGTAGACTAAATATATAAGGCTATTAACCTAATAAAGATAAAATAGATCTAATTTACTAATAGCTTATAATAGAGGCCGCTCTTAGAACCTAGTAATAAAACTACTAAGGATCTAAATATAAAAATTATCGCGGTTACCTAATATAAGAAGTCTACTAAGATAAAAGATAACTAAATACTATTATCTCTAGCCCCGAAGGAATAAACTAACTACTAAGAAGCTACTATAGAAGAGTTTAATTATAAAAAATAGGTCATAGGGTATAATAAGAATAATAAGTCTTAGATACCCGCCGTAGTCTATTAAAGGGACTATTAATAGAATAACCCTATATAATATGATCATACCCTATGCCCCTAATACTAGGTCGAGGTATTATAAGAATATAATAAGGTCTATAAATAATAAAAGGTAAATCGATATAGTAGATTACTATGTAATAATTAGATCGCAAAAATAATAAGTAGCAATTTAACCTAGGCATAAATTATAAATATTAAAAACCCTTAGGAGTATTAGTAAGAGGAATTTATATAAGT